GTGTCATTATTGACCCCGTGCAGACAGACAATCTTATAGATGCAGTGAATCAATTGAATTTCCTTTATATTTACTGTCTATTGTATATCGTAATAACATGTTATCACACTTCACAATTTTTCTGTCTTTATTTAAAATTTAGAAAAAAAAGAACAATCAAATAAATTTTCACTCCGCAGTAGCAGTTAGGTAGCGTATTATTGTTTCAGATATAATTAAAAAATGATAATTTCCACATACCGGTATATGGTAACTAAAGATATATCGTTTTATGCTGAAATCTCGACCTATCGAAAGCAATGTTCAATTTACAATAATTTTCTAATGAATTCTACAGGCTTGTCAAATGACTCTTGCATGGATTACTAGTAAATATTTTGTTTGAGAAAATAATTGTTTCAAAAAAAAAAAAAAAAAAAAAAAAAAATACAGAATGGATGTCGCCCGCTGTTCAGGTCTCCCCCTGGTGTCAGCAGCAGGGGGTATACTTAACACTCAATACACTCAAGGAAATGAGGTCAAGGTCATGACCTTGACCTAATTCCAGGTCATGACCTTGACCTAATTCCATGACCTTGACCTGTACAATTCCAAAGAACTATGTCAAGGTCATGACCTTGACCTTATTCCAAAAAAGATCTAGGTCATGACCCTAGTAGACAGTTGAGGTCAGGAATTGCATGTGACCTGGATTAATTTCTGACCTTCTTTTCATTGTGAATTGATCTTAGTCACGACTCGATCAATGAAAAGTAGGTTAGCGGGTCAAGGTTATTTCTACGTATAAAATGGTCATTGATTTCACCAATCTTTACCAGTTTCCCCTGCTCCCTTGGCTTGTAAAGTTTGTTGCTTAGAACTTTGATTCTAAGAAATTTAACAAAAATGGAGCAGAAACATCAGGAACTCATTAAACGAAATTATTCAGTTCTTGTTAAAAATATGACTGCAGCATGGGTTGCACAACGACTTTATGAAGATATGATTATATCGGAAGAAATGCGAGAAAGTATTATGGTACAGAAAACAAGATCTGAACAGAACAGAAAACTCATAAGCATTATTTTGAAGAAAGGGCCTAAAGGATTTATTGGTTTTCGGAAGGCATTGATAAAGTCTGGACACAAAGATTTATCAAAACTACTTTTACAAAGCGATGATGAAAGTACATTGACTGATTATGAGAAAACATTATCTGCAGCTCGATCGCTAGTTATTGATGTCAAGAGCGGTATAAACGTTCAAAAGACAAGAAAACAGGAGGAATCAAATACAAGGTGCAAAATTCCTTTGGATGACAAAAATGACGTTTTTCTAACGGTTTCCGTTTACAATGGCGGAGTAAATGTTCATATTCGCCATTTCATGGAGAAAAATGGGAAGTACTTTCCAACAAAACGAGGAGTGGTATTTAACCTAGGACGCTGGGTAAGACTTGAATCTCTCATAGAGGAAATCAGCAACTACCTAGAAACATACTGGAAACAGACGGAGGAGATCCAATGGCATGTAGGGGGAGGTGTATTTGTATCTCTTTCACCAAAGCAATCTACTGTTGATATTAGACATTACTGGAAACCGAATGATGCTGAAAATCCAGTTCATACAAAGAAAGGAGTATGTCTAAACAGGGCAAAGTTCAGTAAGTTGCAAGCTTCTCTAATAGAGCTCCATGACTATGTACCAGAACTGAACGATGTAGAGTTGTGTACGTACAGTGAATCTCACAGAAATGCAGAAGGGATGCTTTCATGTCCCGAATGCACTCCGTTTGGAAATAAATTGACATCGTTTTCAATGGAATGCAATGCAAGCGACTCACAAAAGGATACACTTAACATTGATATCAATGACTCGGGAAGAGAAGAAGATGAAGAAGAGGAAGGACATGGCATTGATTTCAATATACTGGAATTTTGAAGACCATCATTTTGTGTCTTAAGATATGCTTTGTGAAATGATAAACAAAATCAGTTGTAAGAAATACAGACATGACTAAGGACGTATCCATTATGGAGGAAGCAATTACATCAGTAACAAAAGAAATAGTTGAAAATCAACATTTGTCCATGTCAAAGAACTCGTTAAGAGAGAAGATTCGATTTAACATTTCAGTTATCAAGGTTTTAGGAGTGATTATTCTTATTTCCCTATTAATGTCTAATATGGCTGTAGATTTCTCAAAACATTCAAACAAAGACAAATTAAATAGAAATGACAAAATATTTGGAAGTCTTCGAAAAGAACCCTTAAAAGAAGATACCTGTGAACCAATAAGGCGGTACCAGTTGATCGATAATTTTACTGTGACAATTTGTGGTTTACAAGGTCAGAAGAGATTAGAAATCAGAGAATTTCATCATGATCAACCATCTATAAGCAGAGTTTACCTCACATTTCCTCAATGGGAACAATTACTAAAAATTGACTTTAACGTCACTAAAAATTTTGAAACTGATGATAACTAAAAATTTTGTAGCTTAGAATGTTATTCGTAAAACATAAAATATTCAAGTTGTATTTGTGTAAAATGTATATCATAATAGATATAGACTTATTGACATGTATACTGCGTGTAGAATTAATATGTACGTTTTTTAATATGATTTATGAATAAATATGTTAACAAATTCCTTGTCTGATATTTTATGATTTCGTAAAGACATATAAAAGTTTGAACATTTAATATCATTGTCTTTCAAAAGAAAAATGCCAAGCTACAAAGACTATTTGAAAAAAATCTATTACTCTCCAGGGAACCCTGCGGCGTTTGTTGGACCCGACAAGTTATATGAAATTGTCAGAAAGGAGGGGAAGTTTAAAATTGGACGTGGAAAAATCAAACAGTTTTTGAATAATGAAGACGCTTACAGTCTATATAAACCAATAAGAAGGACATTTCCACGTTCTAAAGTAATTGTTGACACAGTTGATTCTATGTGGGATGGTGATTTAGCGGATGTAAGCAACATTGCATCAGAAAATGATGGCTATAGGTTCTTGTTGGTCTTAATTGATATCTTTAGTAGATTTCTCTTCATAATTCCACTGAAAACGAAAAATCACAATGATATCATTAATGGTTTGAAACAAGTTTTTACTAAAAACCGAAGACCCCGGGTACTTAGGACAGACAAAGGGAGCGAATTTAAAAATAGGTGGCTTAAAACATGGCTAACCAAAGAAAAAGTGAATGTTATATACACTCAAAATGAAACTAAAGCTAATTATGCTGAGAGAGTGATACGCACAATTAAAAACATGATGTATCGTTACTTTATGAACAAGAGAACTTATCGTTATGTAGATGTACTGCAGAAACTTGTGACTAGTTACAATGAAAGACCCCATAGATCCCTCGGAGGACTTAGTCCTGGTTCTGTAAATGAAAATAATGTAAAGGAAACTAGATTACTGAGTTATTTAGCAAATCGTAGAATTAATAAAAAATCAGTTAATACAAGTAAAGCAGAAAAAACAAAAAAGAAACAAAGGGTATTCAAATTCAAAATTGGGGATGATGTTAGAATATCTCAGCTTAAACGACCATTTCAACGAGATTATCAACAAAAATGGTCAGAGGAATATTTTAAAGTAAACAAGCGTTATTTAAGAGGAAATATAGCCGTTTATAAACTAAAAGACTTAATGGATGAACCTATACAAGGTACGTTTTATCAGTATGAGTTGCAGAAAATTCAGAAACCTGACGATATTCTCTATCGCATTGAGAAAGTGATCAGAAAAAGAAAACAAGCGGGAAAGGAGACGGAAGTCTTAGTTAAATGGGAGGGATGGCCCAAAAAATTTAATTCGTGGATATCAGAAAGTTCTGTACAGAATTACAAATAAATAAGCAAGCAAGTGGTAATTTTTTATCATTCAATATGAGTATGCGAATGGTGTTAGCATCAACAGATAGCTTGGAATATTTCGATAACAGACCAGAACTATTTAGAGTTCACCTAAACAAACAAATTCAGCTTGATGGTTATTGGATGGTTGGATTAACTGAATTTACAACACGGAGTTGGATACCTTCTAAGAAACAATCAGATATTTATGTTTGTTGTGATATATGTGAAGAAACATTTATAGGTGGAAAAGAGGTATCATTACTAAGAAGGATATTTCTCAGTGACAAAAAGGAAGATAATTTCATATTTACAACCCCATACTATGTATCTATTAAAAGCACTACTATTCAGGAGATTAGTATATATATAACAGATCGAGAAGGAAATCCCATTTCATTTTTAGACGCACCAGTGACTGTTACTCTTCACTTTAAAAAAATTCCGTTTGTTTTATAATGAATAGCCAAACTTATGTGAGTGATCCTAAAATATGGGAAACATTTTACAAAAATATGGCTGAAAAGAATTTCAATCCATACAGATATAAACCAAAACAGCTGGGCAGAGGATTCCAAAAAGAAAGATCGTATGTAATTCCTGTTAGACCACATGCAGAGTTAGACACTCAAGAGACACTTAATCTCGTTACTCCAGTAGCTGCTGTTGAGGAAAGAGCACTTTCAGAACACTCAAAGAATGTTGAAGAGGGGATCCCCCACGTCAAAGTGAAAAGGGGTATAAAAAGGCAAAATGATGATACAAAACGCACTTTGATGAAAAAGTTCAGAAGAGACACATCTTCACAGTTATCAGTTTTACAACAGAGGAAGAATCATTCAAATTTGAAATTGCATAAAAAATCCCGAAAAACTTTAAGAAAAAAAGTATCAGGAAAGAAACTCTTGAAGAAAAGTAAAGTAAACAAAAAACCAAGGCGGATTTTAAAGATTGATAGCTTCAGAAATATATTCTAAAAAGAAAAATGTCATTTTTAAGCAGCGATAATAAGGATATTGCACAACCAATGGATCTCTCTCTCTTTGTATCTCCGTCTAATCAAGTTGCTGTTGAAAAGGTATACTATACAGAAGCAAGACCTATATCTAACATCGGTTCTACAGATACTCCAATTGAAATTGTTGTTTCGGGTGCAGGAGCAGAGTATATAGATCTCAGGAAAAGTAAATTATATGTAAAAGCTAAAATTGTAAAAGCTGACGGTACACCCCTAGCGCAGAATGAAAAAACTGGAATCATCAATCTACCTTTACAAAGCATGTTTTCACAAATGGATGTTTATCTGAATAATAAATTAGTATCACTTAATACTAATAATTATCCTTGGAAAGCATATATAAAAACAATTTTGTTTAGTGGAAGAGATGAATTACTATCACAGAAACAATCACAATTATTCTATAAAGAGGAGGGAAATTTAGCCGATGCTAACGCATATAACGGTGGAAACTCGGGTCTTGTTGAACGGTACAGTTATACCAAACAAAGTGCATCATTTGAATTGGAGGGGAACCTGATGGAGGACATCTTTGATTTGGACAAATACCTCATAAATGGTGTTGATATCTACATTAAACTTTTCCGATCAAGTGCACCATTTATGATTATGTCTGCAGAGAGTACTCCAGCGTACAAAATAGAGGTATTAGATGTTGTTTATAAGGTCGCAAAAGTACGCGTCGACCCAGGAGTGTTAATAAATCATAGTAAACAGATAGAAAGTACTCCAGTTAGATACATTTTACCACGAAATGAAGTGAAGATGAATACAATACCTAGCGGATCTACTGAATTTTACTGGGACAACATTTTCCCAAAAGCAATTCCAGATCGAATCATAGTTGGTGTGTTGTCTCAAAAAGCTGTTAATGGCGATTACACATCTAATCCATTCAATTTTGCAAATTGCAATGTAACTGATGTTGGAATTTATGTAAACGGGGAGAGTATTCCTGGAAGACCACTTAAATTGGATTATGATGATGATAGCTATGTAACAGCTTTCGTTCGCCTATTTGAACCGTGTGGAAAGTGGAACAGAGACACAGGATTGTACATTGACAGACAGAACTTTAAAATGGGATACGCGTTCTATGTATTTTCTATTGATCCCTGTGAATTTGGGGAGGAGTATATAAACTTAATACATCGTGGAAATACCAGATTAGAACTGAAATTCAAATCAGCGACAACAGAAGCTTTTAATGCTCTAGTATTTTCGACATATTCTGCTTTGTTAGAAATTAATAAGTCTCGTGAGATAAACTATATTCAACCATGAATACCAGACAGTTAGAAATTATCATTTCAAAAAATGAGTGTTTAAAAAAATATGTGAGAGGTGTTTTTGCATGCAATACCCTGCCGAACAAAGTGTCAAACTATCCAAGTGCATTTATTGTGAACACTGACCCGTTACCGCAACCTGGTAAACATTGGGTAGCAATTGTTATTCATAGTCCTTCACAAGTGGATTATTTTGATAGCCTTGGACAATCACCGACGCAAAATAAAGACATTGATTCATTTCTACGTAAAAACAGTCTGCATGTTTCCTTTTTTCGCAAAAAGATACAATCTAATGAGTCAAACCTATGTGGATTATATGTTTTGTGTTTCTTACTATTAAGACTATGTTACAAGTTACTTCTTTTTGATATATCTAAATATTTTACTGATGATGTACATATGAATGAAATATTTGTATACAGCTTTATGCAACATTTCGTAAAATAAATTCATCGACATTTATGACTCTTTTATTCATATAAACTCAGAAGTTTTGAAAATATTGTAGTCTTAAACTTTCTTTGAGAGAGTAAACATGAATGATGAGACGTGTGCAACAGATTGGTGGGAAACAAAAGGATTACTCCCCTTTTCAGCACCAACCACTATCCTAATAAGTGGTAGTACACAAAGTGGTAAAACTTATTTTACCAAATCACTGTTGCAAAATGCAAATGGGATGTTTACCAAACCAGTGCAAAAGATAATATATGCATATTCGGAATATCAAAGTATATTCGATGAAATGAGGGATAATATATCAGGAATAATATTTCACCAAGGACTACCTTCTAAGGATGATATTGATCAATATACAGAGGACTCGGGTCATACAATTTTAGTTCTTGATGATCTTATGTTAAAGATTGTACAGACAGAAAATTGTGTACATTTATTCACAGTAACAAGCCACCATCGTAATATCAGTCTTATATTTCTGACACAAAATCTTTATCCGCCAGGAAAGTTTGCAAGAACAATTTCCTTAAATTGTCTTAATGTTATATTATTTAAAAATTACAGAGATTCACGTCAAGTTATTACTTTTGGATCTCAGATTCTTCCAGGGAATTTATCCTTTTTTAAGTCGGCATACGAATTAGCTACTCGTGAAAATTATGGCTATTTACATGTTTGTTTAGAGCCCTCACAAAATAAAGACTATCAAATGAGAACTCGCATACTCCCTGGAGAAGACATGATTATTTACCAACCACTGTAAATATAGATGTTCAAAGAAAAGAGACATCATTTCCTAATTATGACTGCACGCGTAAGGAAGCAATTAATCTTCTTTAAATTTGTTATTAAAGCGGATATAAAACAGCAAAAAGCTATGATAAAAACTTTGTCGGAAAAACAGCTGGATGTCATTAGTGAGATATCTTTAAACATTTACACTGGTACTTTTCCTGTCCACGGGCGATATTTAAATAGATTGAAACCATATGCTTCGAACATTCGTCTTCTTGGTTCTAGAGAAGTAGCATACAACCGGAAACGTACAATTCTGTCAAAACATCCTCAGCTCTTGTCACTATTAATTAAACCTGTTTCTAAATATTTTGATAAATTTAAAGGAGACAAAACAAATGGCAAAGGAATTAATTCTAATTCCAAAACAGAGGTACGAAAATATACTCAAGAAGTTGGAGGGTGATGAAATTTCTACCAACAGGAAACCTGTAATTTCGTCTGAACAAATGGTTGCGGTGGAAAATCAATCTGTTTCAAAAGATGAATGTTCTGGAAAGTCAAAGGACGTCGATACCACTACATTATTGCAAACAGGATCTGGAATCACGGACGTTTACCATTCAAATAAGAAGAATAAAATTGGAAGACCTCCTGGTATTCCGAATGTTAAAAGAAAGAGAACTCTCCAATGGATAAAATACTAATTAATGTGTGGAAAGACAGACAAACTGATAAATTCATATAAATTTATTGCTTTTATAAACATTTATTTATATCTTCTTTTCAATGTTTTACATGAGCATAATGTTTTCAATAAAGTTAATAAAAAAAAACACTTTTGTATCTAATATCCATATGGAACGGTGTCCAAGTTTGACAGAATTCTTCGTTTAGTATAAACTATTTGGTACTTTTTATCTTCAACTTGGTTGTAGAGTTTTCGTTTTCTACTGTCTCTACATATCTTATTTGGATTTGAGACAGTAACTACAGATTTGTTTGGAGTAGTTATCATATTACGAATAGCTTCAAAATTTATAAGTTTTGAATTTTTCCAGTTCAATGTGAATCCTCGAACTTTGCATTCTTCTTTCCCTGACTTCGTTCTGTAAGCATAATTTTTCGGCCCACCAGAAACAAATTCTTTTATGAATTCATCTTCCATAGAAATTTCATTTGTCAATTCACCTAAATAGTTGCCTATGGGAAGTTTGAGAAGAATATCGGACGGCAATGATACTTTGAAAACAATACTGTCAGTATCAAAATATAGCACATCCTCTCCCAAAATGTCTAAAACACTGTATAATTTTAAACGTGCCCACATCGTAGTAAATGACGCTAAAAAAATGTTCGTTCTGTAGTCAGCTGCTGGAAACAAAGGATGATCGGTCCATTCTAGCTGTATTGTGTCCTTCGAAATTATATGAAAATTATTCACAACCTTTGTCACGTCTGTAAGAGTTGTAAAAAATTTCTGTGTCTCCGATTCGTGGATGAAATTAGATTGTCGCATCAATAAACGTTGCCCAAATTTCCCCCAAAAACTGTTCAAACACAATTTTGCTAAACATCGCAAGCCTGGATTCTTATGAATTTTGTCATACTCCAGCAGTATACCTTCATTTTCTTTATAATGACAGATGTATTCTTGTTTCTGCTCCTCTGTTTCACATTCTGGAGGAAATCCCGATGCTTCCTGTTTTAGTTTTAAAAACATGTTCACATACTCTGAGAAAAGTCCACCTTCGCCACTTTTTGTATCATATTGTGTAGCCTCTTCAAAGTGGTATATTTCATATATTTTCAGTACTCTGTAACCCATTGAAATGGCTACCTCTAACTCGGGTGTACACCATGTTCCTATAAGACATCTTTCATTTATGGAACAATTGCAAATGTTTTGATTCTCATCATCTGCACACTTTCTACATAGTGGAAATTTTAACTTTCCATTAGATGTATAGGGTAATACAGGGTGGTACAATCCTTTTGGAGGTAAAACTTTAACCTTTGCTAGTCCAAAATAATTATCAAGAGGTCCAAAATTTTCTGTGATGATCATAGGGTGTCCGATGGGATATTTACAATATTTGTTAGTCCAAGGGTAAAGACTGGTGAAATCATAATAATGAATTTGTTCATTATCTTTAGCCTTATAATGAAGTTTTACAGCATTCGTGCGACCTCCAAAGAAACTATCTCTAGGATTCAACCTCTCCTGGATATCAAGACTTGATACATAAAGTTGCAAAGGTTCAAGTGTTGTTAGTTGCTTAAGAAACTCGTGTTCCCAAATTGTGACTAACTTATAGCCTAAACGCTTTAGTTCTCGTTCTCTCTTCTTCGTAACAGTATAGAGCTCTTCCATTGATTGACTCGTCAATGAATGTTTCGTTGTAGTTCTGTCATTTGGATAGCAGCTAGGGCAGCCATGAAATAAACATCCTGTCAAAGAAAATAACTTAGTGAAGTAATTACAGTTTATTCTGCTATAAGTACATTAAGAGAAATATCAAAACAAAATAGGTAGTTACCATAAAACTCGTACACTGTCCTCTTTCCATTTTCATCAGAAAACCCATCACATCTGTATTTGGTATTTGGTATGAGTATCTCTCCTCCATTCAATGCGTGCTGAATAAAAACAGGAGTACCTTGTCGACGTTTTTGTTCCATGATCCATTCCAACCACTGAATTGATATCTTACTGTAATTATCATTTGAAGAGTAACCAGTTGAGGGCACAACTGCTATTTGACTCTTAGCAAATCTTGTTTCACCAACAAGAACATTAGGATCGTTCAATAAGTCATTAATGTACAAATTGTCCCCATTCATGTTTATGAATTCTAAATTTTGTTCGTCTAATTTAATTGTGTGCCACGAAGACAGACTGTCTAAATTAGAACCTTTAATCTCAATTTCCAGTTCTTCTTTCAGAAAAAGAGATTTATATATAGCCATACACACGCTGGCTATTGTAGCGTGATCAAACGGATCAACTCCAAGTGTAGATGATATTTTAATTGTCCCATCCCTTTGTCTGTTTTCCTTCTTTATGGATGTGGCTTCTATAACAAGATTTCTGAATGCCAGGCAGCCGCGTCTTAATATGTCAACATCAGATTTACAATACTCTCGTATTTCTTTCTTGAAATTAAATGTTTCATTTTTCTTTGTTTCGTACCATTTTAAAAAATCCTCTCTATCGTCATTTGACATATAATCAGGACCGTAATACTGAGGATCAGGATATTTACCCACAAACGTCTGGTTTTCAACTTTATTAAACAAGTGTGGGAAATACCCTTTACATAATTCCTCCAAACCAAATGCACTTGGTATCTTTGCTAATTTCATTGGAAGAAAATTCAGAGAATCCAAAAATGTTAAATTCAACTTTCTCCCTATGTACATGTACATGATTTTTGAGCCGTTATATATTATTTTATCGGGTCTAATAGAATGACGATCAATTAATACTTCAAGAATTGGGTACAAGTCAAAACTTTTAGCATTGTGTGCCACTAATATTGAATTTTTGTTATGTTCCTGAGTTATATACGAACAAAACTTCAAAGCAGCATCATCCCCTTCAAAAATGACTTCTCTGAATCCACACGACTCTGTACACGGTGGTGAAACATATTCGTTTTTATCCTTCTTCTCACATATTCTACATCGTGTTCCACAATTATCACACTTTGAGTCAGGTGTGAGTTGGTTCTTTTCGCACATATTACATGATTTTTGCAAAACTGCAAGATTGACCCTATGTTGTTTCATCCCACAAGATGGTTCCATACAGTTTTTACATAGACAACATTCAATGCATTGGGTTTCTTTTCCAACACAATTTTTACAACGTACGGGAGAAGGACGATAACCGCTCTTGCATTGCAATGCCTCATCCTGACGAGTCTCGAAGTCATAGAAAATAATTTTTTTGTTTCTTTTCGTGATATCGACATTCAGTTTTCTTTGATAGCATAAATGCTGTCCCACTTGAAATTGAGTACAATTGCTGCATTTCCATTCTCCACATCTATGTTGTTCTGGCGACCGTTCACAATATTTTATGACTTTTCTACATATTCTGCACTGGTATACTGAATTACACTGACTCGGAATTAATTTTCCTCGGACTTTTTTCTCAATTTTATGTTTTTCAAAACATTCCAGTGATCTACACATTCGACCACAAGATCGACAACTCAGGTATCCACGTGCACCTCTGTCTCTACAGTTTTTACGTAGACAAACATTACAAGTCGTTTCGCATGTATGTTTATATTGGTGCTTATATGTTTTCAAACACTGGGTACAAAAATTGGCTTTAAAAAAACCTTGAATTTTTGCAATTCCGTGCCAATGTTTCTCTTCTCCTATTTCTACATGATACAAGTAGATATTTGGTTTTTCATTTTCATCCACTACCCTAATAAATTTGTCTCCAATGCGAGAAGAGATAACTAAAATATTTATATTCAGGAATTTCTCAAAAGGTGGAATGTCATTTAGCCCTAAATATCGATCAGTTGATACACCACATTTTTTACAGAGGTACATTGCAAGTTCAGTTTGTGACTTTTTTCTTGTTTTCATCAGTATATTTTCGTAGAATTTTTTTTTAACTGTCTGATGCTTTATAATCTTGTCAAACATCGTTCCATTGTCATTTTTTGTTAGTTCGTCCCATGTTTTTGTTTCCACTTTTTCACACAACTTCAAGAAACATAATCCTATTGCAATCGCTAGACAGATTTTATTGTCATTTTCAATGTGGAATGTTGATTGCTTCCGTTCTAATGAGTTTTTAGGTCCTACCAAAGATGTAATTGGTAATTTACTCCCCCCCTTTGGCATTTCAATTGATCCTATCGTAACCAATAATCCCTCATTAACTTTGATATTTTCGTTCGAGTTTAGTACCTTTGTCACCTCACTCAAAACAGTATCTGCATTTAAATTTTCCCAACTTTGTAATGGTACTACGATTGGATTGATTAAATCTGGATGATGAAGAACTACGCGACCAAGGTCTGCATCGTGTCCCCTAGCTTGATGTAAAACATCGTCGAACATTTCGTGTAAATTTTGATAGATATCTAACAACCTTTCACCATACCAATTTTCATTGAACTTCACTTTGTATGACGTGTCTTTTGCCAGTGTTTTCTTAAAAGTTTTCACTTCTTTTTTCCACACAAAATAGGGTTTTTCACTCCTCCCCCTTTTCCAGTTTGATTTAGATTACCACTATAACAGCGGGGTCGTTTTATAGAATTTTCCCCACTATTCCGTACCTGTTCTAATCTACGTTCAACATCTGGATCCCCCGCTATACCATGTACACTTGCAAAGAATTTTATATGTTCTTCATCTTGAAGACACTCAAGAATTTCTTGCAATAGACTACTTGTGTTTTTGTTTTCCATTTTATATCTTTCTGTTACAACTAATGAACTCTTTTATTTTCATTGACAGTTGGTGTAGGGCCATGTGTGTTATTTTTCATTTTACTTAGTTTGTTCTCTAACACATATTCAAGAACAGGCTTTAATTTTTCTATTCGTCTTTGGAAATGAGCACGATCAATAGCCATCTGCATCCACGGACAACTTCTGTCTTCTCCTGGAGGAAGTATATATTCTTCTACATCCTCACTAAACCAAACTTTCATTCTGCAATAACAAATTTCCTTTGTTTAAAAAAACGCAAATATCATGTGAACTCCAATGAAACAATGTTGCTATCAAGTTCCCTAGATATGCCTAGATATGGAATATGAAACATACAACATAATGGTATGAAAAAAGAATCTCTCAATTTGAAACATAATTGAACAAAATAACAACAAATAGATTTTTTTAAAACATGTTTTATTTGTGCAGTTTTTCTACAGTGACAAAAACAAAAGCATATAAAAGTAATCAATTTGTAAATCATGTATATATATTTAATAAAATGACAATTGGCACTTTGGATTGTAAAAAATACATACCCGTTGTATTTTTTTTTTACAAAAAAAAGGAACAATAATGGCTACAAAATTATCGAACATCAATATTCATTAATGTCCTAGCACTCCTTGGCACTTACAATGATCAAGAGTTTTCAAGTGTATAATACTGCATGTAAATAAAAACATCATAAATCACATTCTTTTATATCTTATAAAATAATCGTTGGGAATTAGGATTATAAAAAATACATACCACTGTATTTAAACAAGAAAAAAATGCAAACAAGTCAATCTTTTCTTCTTCATGTTGAACATGCTGAGCAAACACTAAGAGTTATTCCCCTTAGTTTGAATTTAAGGTATTTCAATGTATAACGACGATATTTTGTACGTAGTAAATGCATAATCCCATATTCTTAATCATGGTCATATTTTAAAGATGTTATCAAATAAAAATGCTCCACCAAAGGAATTTACAAATTTTTGTCCAATTAATTGCACCTTGAATTTTACACTGAAGTCTATGGACAGTGTATGTTTATATCAGATATAGTAAAAAGCAATTTAAATTTCAAACAAATCTCTTGGTGAAATATGCATAAACTCCCTCTTCATAATTATGAAATAGAATAATTTTTTTGAGAGATCAAAAATTTCTTCTTTTTTTTCATCAAAGTCTAATAACTCTTCAAAAACTTTAAAACATGCAAAACGACTATCTCCTTAGAAAAAGAATAAATTATTTACCGCAAAAATTTCTCTTTTTTTTCATAAAGGGTTATTACTCTTCCAAAACCTTTTTTAAACATGCAAAATGATTGTCTCCTTACATGTTATCAGTATTGTGAATTTGGTTCATTTCAATTTTCTCTTTTTTCTAGCAATGCGTTTTTAACTACTAGTAGTAGAGAATTATTTAAAATCATTCAAAATCCCTTCATTATACATTGAATACCTTAAGAAAAAAAATCACAGCTTTAATCAAAAGGAATGATAAGAATTACCAATAAAAAGCGTAAATGTGAACAGCTATAAAATTGAACACATTTCTTTTACTGCACAAGGTAAAATCACAATTCGATCACACAGAATGAAAATATTAAGGACCATGAACTAAAAATTGTAAATGTAATGAGAACTTAAGCACATTTGAAGCTCATTAAGCAAAAAAATCTATTTCCCTTAATTTTACAACTAAGTGTGTAAATTCTAGAAAAAAAAAAGTACATAAAAGGAATCACAGTGCAACTTGGAATGAAAAATACAGGAATGATTGTCCAAGGCTTTCTACTGTATCCAAACAAAAAAAAAACAACCAACAAACTCTTGATAATTTAAAACCATACAACTGAGACGAGTTGCTTCCCGTAGGAAAAAAGGTTTTTCATTTACTTCCATGGTTTGTTGCGTGCAGCCCTAAATGGAAGTTTTCTTTTTGGCTTGGATTTTGGATCCAGGGGTCTCTTTGGTGTTGTCTGTTCATCAGGACCTGGAGAAACTTGAGTTTCATTGTCCATGACCTCAACAAAAAGTGAAGTGGAAGAGCCTGAACCAGGTAAACTGGTAGAGATGGAGGCTGGCACAGGAGGCACGGATTGTATAGGTGACGTGGTAGAGGTAGTTGAGTCTGAACGGGACTTACACTTCCGTACAAGAACACCTACGATCATAATAATAATCAAAATGGGTGTTGCCAGTTCTGCTACTTTCATAATTATATCTGAAATAAAAAAGATAAATTTTACACACTGAACTAATTAAACTTTCTTTCTTTTAATCTTATTTAACTTGAAAGTTTGAATTTAAAAAAAAACTTGAAATTTTTTTTTCCAAGTCAAAGTTCCAAAAATTACCCATGCTCAAAGTCTGTCCAGAAGATTGAGTTCCCGACACCTGTTCAACTTTCTTCTCATCTTCAGCTGCACTAGACAAAATACCGGGTTTTGTGGCAGTACCTTGAATGACACTCCGGATTGTAAAAATGCCTGAAAAATAAATAAGATTAATTAAATATCCTAATCTAAATGTTTTTTTCTGATCAATAAAAAGTAATAGTACAAACAGTTCACTAATTATATCAATTTTCTTGACAATTCTACTATATTTCAATTTTCTTTACAATTCAGCTTTATTTTAAAATTACTATGGGGTTCTCTTGTACCTGTTGTACTTTGGAGGTCTGTGGACGCTGTACTGGGGGGTTCTCTTGTACCGGTCATACTTGGGAGGTCTGTGGACGCCATACTGGGGGGTTCTCTTGTACCGGTCATACTTGGGAGGTCTGTGGACGCCGTACTGGGGGGTTCTCTTGTACCAGTCGTACTTTTGAGGTCAGTGGACGCCGTACTGGGGGGTTCTGTGGACGCCGTACTAGGGGGTTCTCTTGTACCGGTCGTACTTTTGAGGTCAGTGGACGTCGTACTAGGGGGTTCTGTGGACGCCGTACTAGGGGGTTCTCTTGTACCGGTCGTACTTTGGAGGTCTGTGGACGCTGTACTAGGGGGTTCTCTTGTACCGGTCATACTTTGGAGGTCTGTGGACGCCGTACTAGGGGGTTCTCTTGTACCGGTCATACTTTGGAGGTCTGTGGACACCGTACTAGGGGGTTCTCTTGTACCGGTCATACTTTGGAGGTCTGTGGATGCCGTATTGGGGGGTTCTGTAGACGTCGTACTGGGGGGTTCTGTAGACGCCGTACTGGGGGGTTCTCTTGTACCGGTCATACTCTGGAGGTCTGTGGACGCCATACTGTGGGGTTCTCCGGTGTAAGGGTCTATGGTACTAGCTGTACTTTGGGTGTCTAAGATTCTTGTGGTTGTGATAATGTCTGAAAATTAATTATTTCGTTAAATCTTAATATCCTTACTTAGAATATGCTTTTTTAGATCATACAATAGAAAAAAATGTTGCATAGTGTAGATGTAAATTTATTTTCTCTTCACAATTCCACTTAAAATAAAAAAAAATCCCACATCCTCCATTATCATCCTATCCCATTAAATTAGTTGACATTTAAATAGAACAAGTGAAGGTTTGACATTCAATAAAAAAAATGGCGCCAAAATAAATGATATAGGCCATGTCAATGTGGCACCCTTTTCCCTCCGTTCTTTTGAACTTATTTCCATTAATATGCCCTCCCCCGGCCTACTTTACGAACTTAAGTCTCATTAGTTGAGTAAATTAAATAAAGTAAACTTACCACAGTTTGCACGGTTGGCTGTTTTGATCACAGCACGTGGCCCCGTTGATGGAAAAAAGAAAATTGGAGTGTTGCATCTCCTTACTAACACGGTTGTTACGAACCCGTACACCCTGTAACACGGTGCCGGCATCAAACATTTTGCAGTCGTTGATAATTTAGAACATTTAATGCACATCGGATCGGCCACACTTGACCTTAAACATATTAGGCCTAGCACTGATGCAGCCAAAATCCACATTCTGCAGCCAAACACCATGTTTTTTGAAGTAATGAGGTTAACCTCGTTTTCAATAAACCGCGGGAACAGCCAAATACGCGCGGATCTCAAAATTCACAAAGACCACAAAGTACATTAGATCTGAGTACTAATAGTTTAAGATATAAAAATGCACTGAATTTACCGACAAATATACGTTGAAACAATAATTATAATCATGATAAAAGGAAGAAGAATTATAATAAATAAATAATTAATTAATTAGCACTTTTTACAATTTATATACCTTTATCAATTTAGATAATTTTAAAAGCCATTACACTAACTGTCCGATATTGCTCATAAAGGATTGGAGTTGGATATGCTCTTCCCTCTTTTTTCTTTAAATTTATTTCTGATTCTTTCCAAACTTGAGTGTTTTTTAATCGCGCCTAATAATGACAATTTCTCCAAAGTTCAAGGTCACTAAAAAAGGTGATCCAGATTTGCTCCTATTGTATATGTTTCGTCGTAATTATAATCAACATCATCAATACAATCATTTGGCTTGAATGATTATTATCATTTTTTTTAGTTAACACTATCGGAACATTAATATACTACTTACTATAAAAATATATCTAAGAAAAGTAACAAGTCAGCATTAATCATATACCATTGCTTGACACAGTAACTCTTTTAGCGCCAAAATATCGACACAATCTCCAAAATAATATGCAGATGTTAGTGACCTGTATGCGTATTAAAACTAAAGTATTTCAAGATCATTTATTAAGGTCAGGTCATAATATTTTAAAAACAGGTTACAAGCATGGTATATAAATGTTTGAGAAGGTAACTTTTTTTCAATTCAGTTTTTTCAACAGTTATTTGACGATCCTTTGGTAGTAAACTTAGTTTGTGAAAATGGCAGAGGCTCAGTTATCATTCATGTAAGTAATTTATTTACCTTTATCTCTTTTTTTTTTAACTTAAAAAAAAAGACTTGAAAAGGGGCATAATTATTTGAACGTTTTTGAGTGTTTTTTTTTAAAAGAGTCATTTAGACTAATACCATTGTCTTAAAAACTTTTTTTTAAATGGACAAAATGAATAAACTTTTAAAATAAGTGTGTAAATTTTTATCCATGCATCATTTTAAACTTTGGTAAGCAAAAACATTAAATTATTTTTGTCACTAAAAAGACATATTTTTAAATACATGTAATTGAACCTTCATTTCCTGAAAAAACTTTATTTTATTTCTTATATTTTAATTAGGAATGCTGAAAAGAAAAATGAGGGGAGAAATAAAAATCCTATTCTGAGGGAAATGTTAGGAAAACCCGTAAAAGACCGACCACAGGAAATTCAAAAGCAGCCACAACAACAACCCAAACAGAAAAATTCATCAAAGAACTTTTCTGAATTCCAAATGTTTTGGAACGACTTACAAAATGAACTTGACGAGAAGAATTTCGAGTCTAGGTATGTATATTAAAATCTTGAACTTTATTAGAAATATAGAAAAGATTTATGTATATATATAATCATTTTTATCATAAATAAGTATGCATAATTCAATAAGCATGAAAGTATATATATGTATATATCATGTACGTATTGTTAAGGAAAGTGTAATGAAACAAAATCAGTCCAGAATGTAGACTATCTTCACTAGTGATATAAATTGCAGAAACTTAAGCTATAATTCATCTGAATAAAATACATGTAGGAACGAAAATTTATGCAATTTTTTATATTGTTTCATTTTCAGTAACTCTCCGCCACAACTCTTTCCGAGCCTCGACTTCCAAGACTTAGAGGACGAAAGCGTGCTGTTCCAAAAATATTTAACACCTACAGTTACTGAGGCAACTCCCACCCTGAAACGAGGGAACTCGGTTCCAAATGGTGCCCCTAAAAAAGATGCCTACCCAGCATTTTCCCCAATATCACCAGGGCCAAAGAGTACGGCTGCTGCTTTCACGGACTCTTCAGCCATGGAGACAGCTACCTGTATCAAGTCCCCGACACAAGGAAGCCAGGGGGCATTCAGCGGTGTGGAGGACTCAATTTTAACAGAATTAAGGTGAGCATTTAAGCCGTATTTTTCCTTATAAATTGAACCAATTTCTATTTTAATGTATTTTGTAACAAGTATTCTTTGAGATTGAATTATTTTCATTAAATGTTAAATTCACTTTCATCATACATCAATATTTATTTTCATTAAATGTTAAATTCACTTTCATCATACATCGCATCAATATTTATTTTTATTAAATGTTAAATTCACTTTCATCATACATCAATATTAAAAAAGACACTTTTAATGTATTCTAGAAGACGTCACAAGCTAAAAAGAAAAATGACGCAGAGATCCTCACATCCAACCTACCCCCTACAAGAGGAGCTGCGAACTTTGAGATCGCTGAAGGATGCTATGAACGCAAATGTACAACAGATGGAGATATTGATTAACTTTCTGGAGGACTATTTTAGAAGGCGTAGAGTGCAATTTGTGTCCATGTAATTTTCTTGCTTATGAAGGACGTACAGCATAAGAAAAAGGAGACTATCACTAGAACTACTTATAACCTTCATAAATGTGTTAATTCAAGTTACCTAAGCTCCAGTTAAAGTGCTATAACATAGACGAAAATAAATTTTGAATGAGTTAAAACAGTGATTTATAACACTTATTAAACGGAAGACTCGTTGTGTAGAGGAAGACTCATTTAAAACAGTACAGTGTGCATGTATATTGTTCACGAAAATCAAAGTTTTCTTTATCAAAAAGATAACATTTTATCATAGACCTTTGTATTTAATGAATGTTTTGTACTTGATGCTTAATGAATTTAATCATATATACTGTATTCATTTTCTATTAGATTTTATGTTATCACATAAATGCATGTACTACATGTATAACTTATATGTATAAACAAGCATATAAATATAATCTTTACATCAAACTTCGTTTATAGTTTGTTTTTCCCACTGCATGCGCAAATATAAAAAAAAAAAGGTTTTTATTGTTAGAAAATCGTTCGGCGACTATGTATGTTTTATTCAATATTGATATTTGTAAATTGCTATATGGACATGTATCCTTAGCAATTCAAATTTTAAAAATATTTAATGTTCTTTTAATTTGAAATAATTCTATATTTACAAAAGTGAAATACTGTTCATTTTTAATTTTGAAAAATCGAATACATGAATAAAGTTTTGATTTAAGGACAGATGATTCAAACAAAATTAAATAAAAAAAAAGATTGAAAATAACAACTTGGCTCATTTTTCAATGATTAAAATGGATGTTTTAACCGCGTGGGTTTTTAATTTTTTATTAAAAATTTCACAAAAGTGGGATTTGAAGTGAATTATATAAATAAGGATGGTTTCAGTATTAGGGTAGACTATTGAAAATCATAGAACATTTACAATTTCTTCTTTATATTCTTGAAATTTGTTCTTAGAAAAAAAAAAGATTTTTGAATGAAAATTTTTAAATTAAATTTTTTTTTGTTTATAACTTAAGAAAGTTTAAGCCGAGATATTGAAAGGAATCTTTTTATTCAACTTTTTTCAAAGATTAAACGAGTAGAAACTAACACGCATTGTACTTCGTAGAAATTTCACCAGATCAGTTTTAAAATTTGAATTTGTACATTTTATTTGGATCTACTTAACTTCAGAATTGAATTAATTTCAATTACAAAAGAGAGAGAGAGAGAGAGAAATTAAGAAGGAAACATTTTCAAATTACAAAATGTTAAAAAAAACTAATAAGAGGGAAAATACAAACCTGTTAGTTGTACAAAATAATGTTTTCCGTATTCTCTATTTTGATGTCACAACTGTTTGAGTCGAACTTATATACAAGTTCCTTGACCTTATTCCTTGATAGGTCTTCACCTACTTTTTTGTTAATATGACCTCAGCCAGATTTGAGAAGCATGACCTTTACATGACCTAGGTCAAGGTTGTATAACATGACCTAGAGAAGAATCGAGACTCATGACCTTAAAATGACCTAATGTTAACTTCAGGTCAATGACATGACCTTGTCCTTGTGTATGGATGTCATGTTTATAACCTAGATCTCCTGAATTAGGTCAAGGTCATAGCCTAGACAATTTTTAAAGTAGGGCAAGGTCATGACCTTGACATAGTTCTCTGTAGTGTGTAGAGGTCAAGGTCATGACCTAGACTTTATGGAATTAGGTCAAGGTCATGACCTTGACCTCATTTCCTTGAGTGTATTGAGTGTTAAGTATACCCCCTGCTGCTGGTGTCATAGAAAAGTGAAATGTAAAACAAACATTCAATCATAATACTACACCACCGATGAATCCATAATATACTGTAAACCAACTTTTATTCGCGACAACTTTATTTCGCGATTAACCAGGGATAAACTAGTTAGCGACGATTATTTTTCGCGATCAAGCCTACTTTGGATCTGTTGTTTATAGGTATAAAAGCTTTAAGAACCGGTTTGCGGCGAGAAATATTCGCGATGATAGAGCTCTCGTGAACTTCGCGAAAATTTCTCGCACGCAAATAAAAGTTGGTTTACATTATATAACTATTTAATAAGTAATTATTAATCAATAATTGAAAGAGACAATGAGATAAAAATAATGTGTATGGGAAGCTATCAAATACAGTCAAACTTGTTTTAAGAGGCCACCTTTGGGAAGTCTGGAAACTGGCCACTTAAGACAGGTGGCCTCTTATTCCAGTTTGCCTTCGAAAAGGACATTTGGTCAATAAATAAACAACACAACACAAAAGTTTTTGATGTGTACATATAATAATTCAAGCTCATTTAAAAAGAATTCGAAATGTTTAAGATTTTGTGCATGTTTCTGTTCCAATATATTAGTTAAACATCTTGCATTCATCAGTGTGCTTTTGCTACATTGAAATATTATAATAAATTCTTTTAATTTTCATGTGAAGAAATACTTACAGTGCCTGAATATTAGCCTTTTTTTATAAAGAAAAAACCCCCCACAAAAATACAGTTTAATGGTAAATAAAATAAAGCAGAGAAATTTAAGTAAGAATACGTCAATAAAAATTTCACTTTCATATGTTCAAAATGGTCAGCAGTGTAACCCCCCCCCCCCCGCAACTTAATTAATCAGCAATTAACTTACTTGTTGAAGTTTTTAAAGCCTGGTAAATTTTATTGTTTATCAAGCTGTCAGAGTTTCTATGTAACATACATAGACACACAAATAAAATTAACCAGTTGACCAGAGAGATGTATATACGAGTTGAAAATCATTCCAAAACACAGGTGTCATATGCAATAGAGCGTGACTAATCCCTATCGATCGTCTCTTGTTAGTGAAATTCACGAGATAATCATGCCATATGAAGCACTTTGTTTTCACAAGAGTAGCAATTAGGGCTTCTACATGGAATCAAAATCTACAAGGTGTGAATTTCTTTAGCTAGAGCAAAGTATATATTGTAATTAAATTCTTTTAATTTTTCAATCGGCGATCTTGAAAAATAACTACAAATTGATCTAACAGGAGAAATATTTTTTTCATAAACAACACTTCAGCGTATCTAAAAACAATTTGTTTAATTGCACCAATATGTTAAATTGACTCTCAAGGATATAATTACCCAAGCCAATGCGTTTAAAAGACGTGATAGAATCGCAACAAGTGTCGAAATGGCCGCCTATTACAGTGTCGGTAAGGCTGTGGGTGAGGATTTGAGTGGCCGCTGGCCGCGTTACACAGGTGGCCGTTTATTCCAGTTAAAATATATAGTAAAAATCGTCGGGGGGAACATAAAGTGGCCGCTGACCGCGAGTGGCCGTTGATTTCGGGTGGCCGCTAAGACAAGTTTGACTGTATTACATAACTATTAATTACCATACATGTAGTAAAATTACAGAAGAAAATCATTTAACGTTCACTCTGAAAACGTTTGACGTCGTCGAAAACATGACGTCATTATTAACCGGTTAAAGTATCTTAGATAAAAATGAAGAAAAAGACCTACTTAGAGTAGGCTTAGGACTATAAAAATTCATATTTGACAACTTCTAACCTTACTATATCAAAATCCGTGAAAAACTCAAAATGCATAAAAATTGCCATAAGGACCCTTTTCCCATGGGCGCAATCATATATACTCATTATTTATAGAAACATTCATTTGTTCACATATAGTAAGTATGTGTGTATTTATTCATAATTCATTTGTGTACATAACATAATAATTTTAATTATCACATAACTAAAGTATTTATTGATATTTATTAATATTCATCATAATATTGTTCATTTATTGCATAAACGTAATAATAATGTACATATTGAGGATTGGTGAGTGTGTTTTTAATTTTCTTCAAGAACTTCATAAGGGCGAAACTTTTTTTATGGCGGGGTTGGTGGGACAATCCAGCTGTCAAATTCATATGATCACATGGCAGTATAATACAGCACTGTCATTATGAAAAATATTGATATTATTTAATCTACAGAGTGTTACACTTTATCTGTAAAAAAGACAGATCAATATTTATTACTTATAGAACGATTTCGTGCGGTTGAAAACAAGTCTTATTATGTTCCCCAAACGAAGTTGGGGAACATATTGTTTTTACTCTGTTTCTTATTATTATTAAGGTCTTCCGTTTCAGACGGAAGACCTTATAGTGATTCTACTGTTTCTTTTTAAGGTCTTCCGTCTTCACGGAAGACCTTATAGTGATTCTACTGTTTCTTATTATTCTTATTCTTTTTTTTTGACAAAATTTTGTGCACGCGATTTCTCGAAAACTATTCAGCGGTTTCTCATGAAACTTTCACAAAATATGTGTCATTATATGAAGTTGATACATCCGAAGAGAAATTTGGAAAACTTGCTTCTGGTGCCAAGTTATGGACAATTTCCTGATTTTAAAATGTGATTTTGTCGCGCACTTTTATCGAAAATGGTAAAGTATATAATATGGAGACTTATTGGAGATGATAGATCATGACTTTCTGGTTTGCAGAATCACCTTTTCGTGCGTCGTCAGTACTTCCGGTCGTTATGAGATGCAATTTTAAAAAAATCGTATTTCCTAACTTTTTTGTTTTTCAGTATTTTTCATTTATTTTTAGTATCTTAATAGAAATCCTCATTATAATGCTTACTATATAATTTGTTCGAATGTTGATAAATCTTAACTCTAGATATTAGCATTCAAAAATCTGAAGCGGGTTCAAAATGGCGGCTGTCTCAGTCAACGCCGACATTTCGCAATAGTGGTTTATAGAGTCAGCCGAGCGTTTGCTTGAACAAAGAAACATAAGAATAAATGAAATATAA